TACGCTGGACTTTTGGGGATGGGGTGAGATTAGAGAATAATAGCAGACTAATTTGTATGCTGTAATTCTAGAATCTCGAAAGTTGTTCTGTTAATCTAATCAATGCATATCATTACTTGGTCTTAGTACCCGTAATGATAGAAGTCTTGCCTGAATGCCGGTCATTTCCGGGTCAGTGGTGGGTCTTAATAATTATTATTACATTGTCATTAAATTTGGCTTTTATTGGATATCTTCATTAACAAGAAAGTTCTTAAATGTTAAACAAAACCTGAAATCTCAGATGCATCACTTTACTAAACGTTTCTTAATGATTAATAAGATAAGAAAAAATGTACCACAGGTTAATTCTTAAATTTTTATTTCGCAATTTTTATCTTAAGGTAATAATTCCACTGTTGGTTAATGCAGCTGATATCTAAGATTGTATTATTCTAACCGTATGCAGTTTTTAACAAGCTCTCAAATAATGTCGAATTTTTTGCTGAGTAATCAAGGTTATGATTCGGCAGTATCTCCCACTACAACATAGAGCAGTTATCATCCTATTTTTATCGTAGATACAAATGCACACTCAGTCATTTTTTTAACCTTGGTTAGCCCACACACATATCACTTGCATAACCATGGTTATTTCAATGGATCGCTGGAAAGGCAAAGTGGCAATCGTCACTGGTGCCAGCGCTGGAATTGGAGCTGCAATCGTCGAACAACTTGCAGAAGCAGGTTTGCAGGTAAACACACCAACTAAATTCTCTCCTGCGCAATTATTAATCACCTCGAATTTAGGTAGCAGGTTTCGCCCGCCGTTCCGAACGCGTAGAAGAACTAGCCAAAAAGCTCAGCGGCAAAAAAGGAAAAGTTCACGCTGTTAAAGTCGACGTTTCTAAAGAAGAAGACATTCTCAAAGGCTTCAAATGGGTTACAGACAACCTAGGCCCCGTCAGCATTCTCATCAACAACGCTGGTATTCTTCAAAACACAAACCTAACAGACGGAGAAACCGAAAAGTGGAAGAAAATTTTCGACACCAATGTTTTGGGTCTGTGTATCGCGACAAGAGAGGCCGTGAAGATAATGAAAGCTAATAAGATTGATGGCCACATAGTCCATATCAACAGTGTTGTCGGTCATAAAGTGCCAGAGTTTGGAGATGCGAATGTATACCCGGCATCGAAGTACGCAGTTACCGCACTAACGGAAACGTTGAGGCAAGAATTGAACCATCTTGGACTTAAAATTAAAATCACAGTAAGTATATTTTTGACTGTTTTATCATATTCATTTTTTTTTTAATTAGAGTGTCAGTCCTGGGGCTGTTGCTACGGAATTTTTGGAGGCAGCCGGTTGGGCGAGTGACGATCCAAAAATGAAGGAAATCATTTCAAAATTTCCATTTTTGAAGGCTCAAGATATTGCGGATTCGGTGTTGTACGTTTTGGCAACGCCTCCACACGTACAGGTTCGACACTTTAAACATAAATTGTTGCTGTTTCATGTTAATTTTTGCATTTTAGGTACATGAACTAATGATTAAGCCTATTGGGGAATCCGTATAATTGTTGACAAGTTAGAAAAAAAGCACACACAATAGTTTCAATCTTCAGTTATACACATTGTACAATAAATGATAATGTATTCCATAAATAGTTTCAATTTAGTTTAGTTTATATTGATAGAGATACAGAGTGTGATGGCAAAAGCTAAAAAAGCTCAAAATGTGTGACCAAATAAAAAATGTATTATATCTTTATGTTTTTTTTTTTAATTGCTGTTAAAACGACTGGAAAGAATTTTTGAAATATTGTACTCCCTACTCCTTAAAAATGATTTCCTTATAAAAAATCAGCACACTCTTATCTAAGTGATAAAATGAGCCTTGTCCACACTGTCATTTGAAACATTTGTCGATCTAAGCAGGTACCGACAACACATAGAAAAGGTGGTTGTGCCAATGGAACGCTGGAAGGGCAAAATAGCTATAGTCACCGGAGCCAGTACCGGAATTGGTGCCTCCATTGCTGAAAAACTAGTAGAAGAGGGTTTGCAAGTATTTATTCCAACTATAGTTACAAAAGTATACTTTGTTAATTTACTTAGGTCGTCGGACTTGCGCGCCGTTCCGAGCTCATAGAACAACTCTCCACAAAGCTCCAAAACAAAAAAGGAAAATTACACGCCATAAAAGCAGACATTTCTAAGGAAGAAGACATCCTGAAAGCCTTTAAATGGGTGTCCGACAATTTGGGCCCTGTTCACATTTTAATAAACAATGCAGGCATCATCCAACAATGCAACTTATGTGATGGAGAAACCGAAAAGTGGAAAAAGGTCCTCGATGTAAACGTTCTTGGTTTATGCATATCCACAAGAGAAGCTGTCAAAGTCATGAAGGCTAATAATATTGATGGACATATTATCCATATTAATAGCACTGCGGGTCATTCTGTGTTAAATATTCCTGGTTTAAACCTTTATCCGGCATCAAAACACGCAGTAACAGCTTTGACTGAAACTCTGCGGCAGGAATTCAACCATTTGGGTCTCAAAATTAAAATCACGGTAAGTTTTTTGGAAATTATGATTGTCATTTACAGTGGCTACAAATTGTAGAGTGTTAGTCCTGGAGCGGTTAGTACTTCAATGGCTGAAAACAACGATTTGGTTATGAGTAAGGAACTAATGGAAATTGTAAACAAAATCCCGAAATTGACATCAGAAGATGTAGCTGACTCTGTATTGTATGCTCTGTCAACGCCACCTCATGTTCAAGTATGTATTATAAAATTAACAATATTCTTCACAAAATTGTTACAATTTTGTTTTTAAAGGTGCATGAATTAATTATTAACCCTTTCGGAAACAAAGAGTGAGATGTTATTTACAACTGTACAAGGCTTAAATAAAATTTTATTGGATAGTTGTTTGATTTGTGGCTTTAATGTAAACTTCAGTTTTGTAAAATCAATTGTTTAAATTGGTATTCAAGACGTTCGTTATTTATACTAATTTTTAATTTACAGGCGTAAGTAAAAATTACATAATAAGGTCCATTTGAAAATATCTGATTTCTGTCTGCTTTTTGACAATTTTATTGTATTTTTGAAAAAAACGCAGTCAAAACACGTTTGCTCATTCTTACCAAAAATCTAATGGCGTCACTTCAAAAGTTCAATGAATAAAGCCTGTTTGAAAATAGTGTAGAATAATAAACTCTACATCCTTATTGGATTGGGAAAATAACAGGTAAAATTCGTTGTGAGAGTAATGGATCTTATAAAATTGTCAAAGTAAACCGTTAGAAACTCAGAAACTCCCATCAAAAATCAATTGGCATTAATAAGTTGAGGTCAGTAATAATTATTATTATTTATTATTAAATTTGGTTACTATAGACATTTCCTTAAACACTTTACTATAACATAAATATGTAAATAAGAAAACATATACTACGCTATTAGGTGGTCTTTTAAATTTTTCTTTCACCACCTTTATCTTAACGTACTATTCCACTATTTATTAATACACTTGACGCCATAAAATTGCATTGCTCTATCTGCATGCAATTTTTAATAACCTTTCCGATACTCTACAATTTAATGATGAGTAATCAAGGTTATGATTCGGCAGTATCTCCCACTTCAAAATAAAGTACCTAGTTAATAGTTATCATCCTATTTAAATCGTAGAGAGAAATAAACACTCAGTCAATTTTTAAACCTTGCTTAACTCATATCTTCCACTTATATAACCATGGTAATCTCTATGGATCGCTGGAAAGGCAAAGTGGCAATCGTCACTGGTGCCAGCGCCGGAATTGGAGCGGCCATCGTCGAACAACTTGCAGAAGCAGGTTTGCAGGTAAACACACCAACTAAATTCTCCCCTTCGTAATTATTAATCACCTCGAATTAGGTAGCCGGTTTCGCCCGACGTTCTGAACGCGTAGAAGAACTAGCCAAAAAGCTCAGCGGCAAAAAAGGAAAAGTTCATGCTGTTAAAGTCGACATTTCTAAAGAAGAAGACATTCTCAAAGGTTTCAAATGGGTTACAGACAACCTGGGCCCCGTCAGCATTCTCATCAACAACGCTGGCGTTATTCAAAACACAAATCTGACAGAGGGAGAAACCGAAAAGTGGAAGAAAATTTTCGACACTAATGTTTTGGGTCTGTGTATCGCGACAAGAGAGGCCGTGAAGATAATGAAAGCTAATAAGATTGATGGCCACATAGTCCACATCAACAGTATCGCCGGTCATAAAGTGCCATTTTTTGAAAAAGTGAATGTGTATCCGGCATCGAAGCATGCTGTTACCGCACTGACGGAAACGTTGAGGCAAGAATTGAACCATCTTGGACTCAAAATTAAAATCACGGTAGGTATATTTTGCGTGTTTTATTAATACTAAAGAAAAATATAAAATTGAAAAATTAGAGTGTGAGTCCTGGGGCTGTTACTACGGAAATAATGGAAGCAGCCGATTGGAAGATTGAAGACCCAAAAGCGAAGGAAGCCATTTCAAAACTTCCATATTTGAAAGCTGAAGATGTTGCGGATTCGGTGCTGTACGTTCTGGCAACACCTCCACACGTACAGGTTCGACACAAATAAATTGTTGCTTTTTCGTATTGATTTTAGTGTTTTAGGTGCATGAACTAATGATCAAGCCTGTTGGAGAACCCATGTAATTGTTGACATATTCAGTGTTTAATAATGTACAATAAATGAATTTGTATTCTATAAGTAGTTTCAGTTTAGTTTAAATTGTTAGAGTTTTGTTGCAACAGCAATGAATGAGCATGGCATTGTACTCAGTTCTCAGGAATATTCAAATTAAAAAAAAATGTTTTTAAACCTGGATGAAGTACACCGATGTAATTTTTATTGATTTTTCTCTCGTAAAGCAGATAATAGTTCCTTATCATTTTGTAAATCATAATAATGAGGTACTTTGCGGAAAACACGAACTCATTATTTGCAATATTAGTACAACTGCCGTCATTTTCATTTCAGTCGAGCCTGACTCAACTTCTACATCTGAACAATGGATCGTTGGAGAGGCAAAGTAGCTATAGTTACAGGAGCTAGTGCAGGAATAGGGGCAGCAATTGCAGAAAAACTAGTAGAAGAAGGCTTGCAAGTAATTACTTTAGTCAAATTTGTGGTTTCTAGGTATCAAAATAAAAAAAAAAACTAGGTCGTAGGTTTTGCCAGAAGACACCAACGCATCGAAGCAAGATCCCAAAAACTAAAAAACCATAAAGGAAAACTGTATGCAGTGAAAGTAGACGTAACCCAAGAAGAGGACATTTTAAAAGGATTCAAATGGGTAGCGGAAAACGTAGGCCCAGTTCACATTTTAATTAACAACGCCGGAGTTCTCCAACACACCAACCTAACCAGTGGCGACACATCAAAATGGAAAAAAGTCTTCGACACGAATGTGTTAGGCGTTTGCATTGCAACCAGAGAGGCCGTAAAGATTATGAAAGCGAACAAAATCGATGGTCATATTGTTAATATTAACAGTATTTGCGGACACCGAGTGCCTTATACTTTTCCGGACGCTAATGTGTTTCCAGCGTCCAAATATGCGTTGAGGGCAGTCACAGAAACTCTTCAGCAGGAGTTACAATCGCTGGGTCTTAAGATTAAGGTTTCGGTAAGTGGTAAATTATCATAGGACACCAGTTATTTGGGTTTGCTTTTAGAGTGTCAGTCCTGGTGCAGTTTATACTGAGATTATCAGAGCAACTGTCAGCCAGAGTTTGGATTCGACATTCGCAGATACTTTGAAGACGATGCCGACACTACAGGCAACAGATGTTGCCGAAGCAGTGTTGTATGCTTTGAGTACTCCTCCACATGTTCAGGTGAGACAAAATAATACAAAAAATTAAATTATATGTTTAATAACAATTTTGTTTAGATTGAAGATATAATTATTAGACCTGTCGGTGACCTTATATAGCTTTCCGTGTACTACTGTATTGTATTTAATTCGTTACTAATATGTGCAATTACTGTGTTCTCTAATAACAGAGTAGTTGAAGTGCTATGTATGTATTTTATTCAAATAAATAACAACAAAAATAATTACTCCTGACGACATTTTCTTCTACTAATACAGGCTGTTTTTCAAAAATCTAGCTTAATCTTCCGGTTATGCTGTGCTCATGTGTCAAGGAAAAGGTTTAAGAACTTAAAAAAAGTGTCACTTGCATTCGTGACATTTTTGACGTAATATTTGGCTGCCAGCAATGTAATTTTTATCTATCGAACTCAGTTCTGTTTTTTTTTGTCCAATTTGTTTTAGGTTGATGCTTTGGACACACTGTATATTTATGTACGTAATATTATATACGGAAAAACTCGTTTAGTGCACCTAATTATATTTCAGATTAATATCACGTTCAGCTTAACACGAAATTCATTTTTAAATAAAAAGTATGCCGCTAAGTAGGTACTTGAAAAGCAGTATACGATTTTAGTTCTGTTGATACCATTATCAGTTTGTTTGTTTGTCCGTAATCACTTTTTTTTTCAGTTTATTATGTACACACTTTGGAAAATCTAACCGTTATAAAAAACCTTAGTTTAGAAATATATTCAGAAAGTAATGCTGGTGATAGACCTTTTAAAGTATCTAATAATAAGACGTTTCAAAGATGAAGTCCCATCATTTTCATTTTTATCATTGTAAGAATGCGCTAATGTCGCATGCACGTATATTATTAATAATAAAATAATAATTAGCGTAATAATATGTACTTACCCAAAATAAAAACATTATGAACCTATTAAAACAACTCACTGTTTTTTTATGTTTTTATTAATAATTATATTGTATCTAATACATAGTCATACCACAACTCCAATAATCGTATTTAAAAGTTATCGAATCTACCCTCTGGTGGCAGCAACACCGTTAACAGCTCGAGTGCTCAAGGCATAGAAGTAGTCACTCAAAGCTTTGAAAAGCTGTTCGTTGCTTTTGTAGGCACCGGCCTGTCCAGACAAATTGGGTTGCAAATAGAAGCCATAGACGGCGGTCAAAGCAAGAACAAAGATTAAAACGACGGCTTTCATTTTGACTGAAAAAAAAAAAATAGAAAAGAAATATTTTTCATTCCACTAAGGTTATTAATGTTTGCATTTTCAGCCAACTTATTAACATAGTTATTCTATTAAAAAAAAAGGAATAATTTTGTATAAAAAAGAAATATCTACTTACTTCAACAAACTTTTGCAGAAACGGTGCAGAAAAGTACTACGCCAAAAGCGATTCAGGTTCGAATTTATAGCACCTGATTGTACATGCAAACGAGTGCAAAACAAATACAACTGAAGCGTCATCATTTATCACAATATTTTAATTAAAGATTTGCTGTATTTAATTAAATATGAGGAAAATTAAATATATGCAAAAAAGAACAAATACGAATACAATTTCGTTTTTAGAAATAATTAATTTTCGGTGTTATTTGTCTAGTGTAAAGTGTTTGAAGAGAAATATTAGAAATGTTACAGTGAAAAAAAAAAATAATCAAACTGTTATACACTGTTTTAACAAATTTGTCAAAAATGCATCAACAGAAATCGATATACACTTATTTTAAGTTTAATGTAGTGAAAAGAAGTCTAAACATATTAAAAGAGAAAGGCAAAATGTAAGCCCGCCCACCCGCCCTATCTCAATTGTGATGATTTTTTTTATTCGCCGTGAATCAAGAGGGCGCAGCTTAATTGCAAAATACTTATTTCTTTACAAAAAATTAAAAACATGTTTTGAGTATCGTGGTGTTCAAAGAATACTGTAATTGGGCCCCTGGCCTGTTGGGGAACATAATAGAATAAAATAAAATAAAAATAAACACTTTTAAAATGGTAAATTTTTGTAAGGAAATATGGATTTTCCAATTAGACTCCTCCCCTATGTCTGCCAACGAATGAAAACTTCATTACTATTTAGATATGGGTGGGGCTTAATCTTTGGCTTTAATTTTTTCTTAATATACATGATATTCTTTGAATAACACGATACTCAAAAACATGTCTTACGTGGTAATTTCTTATAAAGAAATAATAAGGATTTTGCAATTAAATTCTGCTCTTTTGGCTCTCGACGATTCAAAAAAAAAAAACATCACAATTGAGATAGGGCGGGTGGGCGGGGTTTATATTTTGCCTTTTTTTCATATAGGTAGTCGTCTTTTCAAAACAAGAAACTTAAAACATGTTTAAAATGGTAAATTCTTGTAGATAAATATGGATCTTGCAATTAAGCCCCGCCCCTCGATTTGACAACGAGTAAAAATTCATCACAATTGTAAATTGAGATCGGGACCAGTATGGGTGGGGCCTAATCTTTGGCTTTATCTTTTTTAATACATAGTATTCTTTGAACAATACGATCCTCAAATCATGTTTTTAATTTTTCATAGAAAAATAAGGATTTTGCAGTTAAGCTCCGCCCCCTTGGCCCACGACGAATAAAAAAAATCATTAGAATTAAGATAGGGCGGGTAGGCGAACCCACATTTTGCCTTTTATTCTTAATATATGTAGACTTATTTCGATCACAAGAAACCTAAAACATGTCTAAAATGTTAAATTTCTGGTAATCAACTTAAATCCTCCACTTTTCTTCTATAGTTTTGGAAATTTCATTCTACCCTATAAAATTTTATTGGCAATAACGAGACGGACACTAGTACAATAGCAAGAGATAAAGACTTAAAGTTGTCGCTTGCTGGTATTTCCCAGATGTTAGAAAGCAGAATAATCCAGGTCCGGACAGGGACCATTGTTACTCACTAATGAAAATGACCATTATTTTGTTAATACATCTATCTACCTGTTAAATGTTGTGCGAGGTCCGTCTCGTTATTGTCAATAAAATTTTATAGGGTAGAATGAAATTTCCAAAACTATACAACCCATTTAAATACGGCAAAAGTTGAACATCAAAGTTACTATCAACGGCAACTTGGCAACGGAGTTTATAAATGACAATTCTCAGCTCTAAAAGCAAGTTTATAAATCCCACTTTAAGCAGATCATTTTGTTCCACTCAAGAGCAGTTTCGGACTCTGTTCATTTATTTAGATTTTTTAAAGTTTTGAACACTTCAAAGATTAAGTGTTTTTTAAGAAAAAAAATATCTACGCAATATTTTTGGATACTCTACATAATTTCGTAAAAAGGTGTCACAATATTAATTTAAAATATGGTGTTGTAAGGAAGCATTTTGGGAGAGTAAGATCGTAAAACGCTAACCCAACTTTTTCTATTCATTCTTTTCAGAAAGTTGCGTCGTTTTCTCCAAATTTCACTTTAAGTGTGCATAAAATATACCGATTTACCTATAATTTAGCAGTTCTATTTACACCAATAAAAAAATGGTCCAAGTTTATTTCGACAGGTCTTCCCCCGCGCCTGAAGTACAAATCCAATAAATCCCACTTTTCGAAAAATTATAAAATAACATATCGCTGTGTTCGTTTCGTGATAACCTCTATAAAGGTCATGGGGGCTCAAATTGCAAGGAATTGCGCAAATTGCACAAGTACGGACAATGTGAAATATATTTAAAACAGATCACCAACAGGAAAAATTGCCTCTCAGCAATAATAACAACAATAACTTCAAGTGTTTGTTTGTACATCGAAAGAATGTCCCGCAGAAATTTGTTTAATTTGGAATTTCAAAACAGGGGACTAAAATTATGAATTAAGCCATAGTGGAACAGAATGTTTTGAATATTATTATTATTATTTTTATTAAATAAATTCTGTCCTAATTTAGACTTCTTGCAAAAATTAATTTCTAGACAATTTAACTTTCAAACAAATATTGATCTTTGACTTTCTTTGCACCATATGTTGTAAATTGTTAATGGAATGTTTCCTTTAATAGTTTTTTAGTACAAGGTGTTTATTTAAAAACTAATAATTGTAAGAGAACAGTTTATTAAAAAATTAAAAGAAAAAATTATTTTGATTTTTTTATTTAAGATAATTAATTTCATGAAATCATATCAGCCCAAACACTAAACGGTAGAAATCAAGACATGTGATTCTGATTTATCCTCTGGTAGCAGCAACTCCGGTAACAGCTCCAGTGCTCAAAGAATAGAAGTAGTCGCTCAAAGCTTTGAAGAGTTGTTCATTGCTTTGGTAGGCTCCAGCCTGTCCAGGCATATTCGGTTGAAGATAGAATCCGTAAACAGTGGTCAAGACAAGAACAAAAATCAAAAGAGCGGCTCTCATTTTGGCTAAAAACCAAATATTCGCTTAGTTAGTATAGAAAACAAAATAGTAACAATAAAATATATATACCTTTTTATGACTTTTCGTACAGTTGATAGAAAAGTGTTATAATACAAACAATTCAGACGCCCTTTATATATTGAAGTAAAACTGAGTCTAGAACAAATAACAATTCACGTGTAGGTGTTATCTATTGAAGCAATATTTTAATTAACTGGCGTTTGCTGAAAGGGGTTAATATAATAACAAAAGATACCACTTTATTTGTACTACATGACAATACAAATTTTTCAAAAACTAAAAGTCTCAGTCTCTAGAGACGTTTCTAATGATAAACAAAATTTTTTGAAAAATTGCGTTTACACATGTAATATACAGGTGTTTCGGAAAATGTGGGCCAAATTTCGGATGTAAATTCTATCATCAATACAAAAAAAGTTTAAATACTTCGTAATTTAATTATCAATATACTTGTCATGAAATTGGATATGATAGGAAAACCCAAGAATTAATTTTAAAAAACTTTTTCAAAAAATATTAGAGATGTTACGAGCTCTCAAAATAAAACAATGTCCTATTTGTATACAGAAAAATATATATTGACTTACTCATATAGAACTTATTTATCTTGTACCTATCCAATTGCAGTGAATCGTATTAATAGTGCATGATGATGCACAATCTCCGCCACACATTATGAACAACTTTTCATTAATTAATTTAGAGGGACCAATTACTACCTACTTAGAACCCATCCTATTACATTTTGAGGGCTTATCTTCTGGGCCTACAATCATATAAAAGCTCCCAGTGCCTGTGGATCATCACTAACTTTTCTATCAAGTGTGAAGGAAAGCTATATCAAGTATGTATACCCAGCTTTTAAAAAATTAAAACGCAATTATTTTTTTTACAGCCAAAATGAAAGCCGTTCTTTTGATCTTCGTTCTTGCTTTGGCCACCGTTTACGGCTTTTATCTGCAACCCAACATACAGGGCCAAGAAGCTGCATACAAAAGCAACGTGGAGCTTTTCAAAAGTTTGAGCGATTATTTCAGCCAGTTGGCAGTCAGTGGAGGAAGCGTTGCTGCCGCCAGAGGTTGATCTTAGAACAATGTATCCGGCTGATTCTTGACGTGTCTTAAAATATAGAATAAAAAAAATGTTTTTGTTTTATTTACTACAATCGACTTAAAAGTAGAACTATGTGTTGACAATGAGGATTTTTAGCAAAAGCATAAGACTAAAAAAGGTCAGTTTTTTCTTCAGACACCTGCTACGCTACGCATGACACTAGAGAAAAAAGTAAGCTTGGGGTTTTTTACTTTTTTCTTTTTCGGAGGTGTTTCGTTGGGTGTAGGACGCTCCCACAGTGAACCATATTTTTGCAATTACTTTCAATTCCAACTACAGTGGTAATATCTCTACAATTTTAAATACGTAAGTAAAGTTGAACTAATTGTTACTACACAGCGTAGGTGTTGATTTTTTATCACTTCGTGGATTTTTTGGGGCTGCTCTTGTACACGTCGCGTTAACATCGCTTGGTCTTATTATATTTCCGAAGTTTTCAACTTTCCATACATTTTTTAACAAAGCAAAAGAAAATCACCTTTATTAGAGTTATAAAATAATAATTCTATTTTAAAAACTGACGCTTTAGCGGTGCCACTTGCACTCTGATGAAGCAAAAATAACCCATTTTCATGTACTCTAAAGTGTTTTTTTGTGCACATTAAAGAAACAATGATATTTTCTTCAATGACATCACCATTTTTAAAATTAAATATAGTTGATTAACCGGAAGATACATAACTGGCAAATTGAAAAAAATCACCTTCAACTAGGAACTTTAGTAAAAATACAAAACACGATAACCAATTATGCAAAAAAAATAATATAGTACCTGCATAACTAAATAAAATATCAATTTCCAATAATTACCAAATGGAAATACGCCAAAAAATATTAAACTGTTGACATGTAAATTTTAAATACTGTAAGTACCTAGATCGATTTAAATATAGCAGTTACCTCATATGAATATTTATAAATTCCGCTAAACTGGGACAACACATCCAAAACATCATCCGCCTTTTCTTCAGTGCACTGTCCACAAAACATTTTCCGAAAAAACCAACACCCAAAGTCTGTAACACAAGCACTGAATTTATTCCGCAATCGGCCACCTTATTCGGTCACTTGTCTCCTCGCATTATTACGGCACTAATAAAATAAACAATAGTAACACGTGTGTACGGAACAACAGGTAGGACTACAGCAAATCGTGCTGATTTGGCACCAATTGAGTATTCTCGGCGATTCAAGGGTGTCCAAATCATACGTTATAAATAGCGGACGCTTGACGTAAAATAAACAGATTTTGACTTTTTATTGCGTTTATTTTTTCCTTGTATGATTGTTGAAAGTTTGCAAAGATTATTCTTGTTTTACACCTAATTAAAATTTGTGGTGATAGGTCGTTTCGGATCACTATAGTTTGTTTTATTTTTGTTTTTAACCTTGCTACCATTTGCCTGTTTTCATTGAGGTCTGAACTATATAATTAGCAGTCTTAAACATTCTGGGATCATAAAGAGCATCCGTTATGTGTTCTGGGAGGAGTCTTGAGGTGCGCCTAGCTAATGTTTTTTAAATAGGTGATTGATATTCGGTTCATGTCTAGGATAGTTTGTGCAATTAATATTTATGTGGTAGATGATAAAAATGCTATGTTAAATAATTATATTAGTAATGAATGTTTACAAATTTTACACCAAACTTCCAAAATGTTGCATTATTTTAGGATAACCTGTCAGAATGGGGTATCCAGAATATGAAAGCATCCACAATTCCACATTTGATGAAAATCTACTTAATCCAGAAACGAAACACCTCTGGCAATATAGCAGTGGCAGTACTTCACTGAGTTCCATCGAAACTTCTTACAAACCCACAGATATCAAAGAAATTGTAGACTCTTTAGTAATGGCAAAATATGGTTCCCGGTATCACAGAAATTGTTTCAAATCGGCTGCTCGTAGATCACGATCGCAACTAAGTACCTTCTCCACAAATAGTAACTCAGAAAGTACTTTCAAAATTGCTGACATAGTAAGTATGAACAGCTGAAAAGTTCTATTTGTTAAAACAATTTGTTTTAGACGTCAGACTACAGCGTCAATACATCCGATATATCAGATTTAATTTCATGTGAACGTCAAAGCACAACCAGTGGGGTGGAAACTGGTGGCAATGTTGTAAGCTTTTCGGACACATGGACAATTGACAGTACTTTAACAGACCAGATTAATTCATCCTCCTGTGAAAAAGAAGAAGAAACAAATGGTGACCAAAGTGCAGACTTTATGTTAGAGCTAGTTACCAGAAAAAGAATGATTTTATTACGCACTAGAGAGCAGATCGTAAAAGCGATCTATCATCAGGAGAATCAAAACAGGTTAACTTTCTACAAAGAGAGACTCGAAGCCGAAAAATTACTTCTTCTAACCAGTAAATACTTGCCCTATTGTTTAGCAGTTTTTACATTCTCTTTACAGATTTAAGACTGGAACACATCTCTTGTGAAGCTGCAGAACATACATATCTGCGAAGTGTAAACTGGTTTTATTCAGGAAATATAGAAATTTCCAATGTCCACATATTTCCTAACTATTACAACAATGAACATTTTCTCTTCTTAGTCATTTCTGGCTCAAAGGTGTTTGCAACTGAGGGAGGAAAAATGAAATCAAACGGAGGAATCTATTTCAGCAAAAAAATCACCATCCCTTATTTACAATCTGATTTTAAATTGCATCTGCTAGTATACTCGGTTACTTCTAAGGTATGTACTATTTTCTGTTGTATCAGAAAATAAACAAATCTCTCTTTACAGGCGTTGTTAAAAAAATCTAGCACATCACGAACTTTTCGTAATTACGACAGAGATATCTCTTCTCGAAAGTCCAGTTTTTCTCTATGGGGACATATTCGTCTCAAGGCTTGCCAGCTCTCAAAATCTGGCTACCTAAAAATGTACGCGGATTCTGGGATGTTTACAGTCTGTATTTCGGCTCATGCTAATGTTGATAAGAATTTATCGGGATTTCTAAATGTGAGAAAAATTTCAAAAGGATGTCCTTCGTGGGATAGACAGTTTTGTTCTTTAAATGCTGGAATTTTGAATTATTATAACTACCCGCCAAGTGATCCACTTGAGAGCACACCAGCACGCACTATAAACTTAAAAACATGTGAGTTAAGATTTCCATCGAGGGAAGAGTGTACTAGGAGACGCTCTATTTGTTTAAAAATGAATGGAAGTGAGGGCGTTCTTATGTCTTTTGATACGCAACAGGAGTTTGAATGTTGGGCTAAATACCTAAATATTGCACTGTCACAAATAAGAGCTTGTAACAAAGATTGATAAATTTATGTATTTCTATAGTAAGTTAATTATTACTATAATGTAGATGTTTTTAGCTTTGATTTTATTATTAAATAGTTTGTGGCAATAATTCTCTATTGCTGTTTTGTATTCGTCTTTATTACATTGACTCACTTTGAAAACTTTTTTTCATCTATATGCCTGTACCTGATCCTGCTTATTTGTGACACCATCCCAAACTTCAAGAATCACCTTTTTGCTGTTCTATATTAAAAAAAAATTAGTTACATCACTATGATTTTTATTATTTTGTACATAGAAATTTCATTAATCAAAATTCGAAATTCTTTTGGAAGTTTAAGAAATGTTCAATATTTTCTTGATCTAGAAGGTACTAACCGCTATTCGGGAAATATTTATATTTGCATTGTGTCAATATATTGTTATTATCTGTGGTTTATGTTTCAGATTTACCCTTATATGTACGTGGTCCTGAACATTATTATTTCAAAGAGTGTCGTGTTCGTTGAGAAGTATGTATGTTCCTTTTATGATGTAATCACCAATCTAATACTATACACATTATTTTAGAAGTATTAAGTACTATCCACAGTTCTATTGGAAACTCTCCCAGAAATCAAGGAAAATGTGGAAACCCCAGTAAAGCCAAAATATGGTTCTCGATATCACAAAAATCGTTCAAGTTCGTCTTCCCGAGGACCAAGCTGGAAAATAGGTAACTCCTTCAGTGAAACGTGAAACAACTATTGATGCAATCTGTTCATAATGTGCTATGTTATTTGAATACATGCAGACTTTAACAGGGCAGATTTAAGTGCAAAACATTCTGTCCCAAGAAAGATATTTCCTCGCAGTTTTACACACATCTAGAAATCCATTTAAGTTGTAATTAACGTTAAGATGCCTCGAAATACAAGCTGTAAAATCGGGAATCCAATTACACTAGGTTGCAAGATTTTGTAAGATGAAAAGCTTTCATATGACTTTCTCCCCAAAGCGAAAAAGAAGATTTTCTGAAATACTCACGAAAATTTCAAAAAACTTGCGATAGGCCAGGTTTAATTTTTGATAAATTAGAAAAAACAGAACATACCTTTCCATATGTAATTAAAATCGGGTTGTAGATAAGATTAATTTTTTGTTAAAATAGCTGCCTCCAATTGATTTCGGATTTCCTTCTTCAGTTGCCAATACATATGTGCCGGAAATGATCAAACAGACAAAATGTTGATTGCAGGAAATAACTGTTATTGGAAATTTCTGTATTGTTCGAACTAAATCAGTATACATTTCACGCATATGTGGGTTCTTGAGTTTCGCAAAAAAGCGATTTTAGTCTTGAATCTGTAAAACTGTACCTGTTATAAGAAGAATCCTTCCGGCTTCCAGTTCCTCTCTATAGACAGTTAATCTCTTTTGGTTCTCGTGGTAGGCGATAGCTTTCAAGTTTTTCTATAGTACGTTGTAAAATCAACTTTTTCTGCTCTGTTAAAGCATCTGCATTTCGCACGCTTTCAAGTCAATAAATTTAGAAATCTGTGAGTTAACAATTCCATCAAGGGACGAGTGTCTTTCTGTTTTTAGTGTACATGTATTATATTACTATTTGTACAATGTTGAAATAGCTTTGATTTTGCTGTAATTAATTTCTGACAATAATTATTATTTGTTGTTTATTCGTGTTTATATATAACGTATTGTGTTATAATTGTTTAAATAGTTAAAAATAGAACGTCTGATTTTAACACTGGTTTTCTTTTATTTTTCATACACTGCAAAACCGAAATTCATAACTCCGGTTTTTTGCTTGTAATTTTCGTGTTTATTTGGTTGCCTATAATGGCAAATGCATTCGTTAGTTTTTTACAGTCAATAGGAAAAAAGACTGGTGTTTGTAGTGTTGCAAGTCAAATACTGGACTCATTAGAGAAATTTGTGTTAGAAGTTGATACTTTTATGGTAGTGCTATGGAGGCTTTTAAAGTTAGGTCTGCCACTTCTTTTTGCCAGGACTATAACACGTCCCTGTGGCTGGAATACCGCTAAAGATAAGCCGGTCCTTTTTGGGGGAGAAGTGTATACCACCCAAATACAAAAAAGAGTTGTTATTTAAGTATGAGGTGATCTCATAAATTTGCATTTAATAACTTGCATTATTCCTTGACGAGGGTAATGAAAGGATTAACGTCATACAACTACTACATTCGTTGGCACACTAAACTCTTGTCAACCACATTTTAAAAATTCTCTCTCTCCAGATATTTCCAACGACAATATTCATTGGCTCTCTAATACCAAAAGCAGTTAAAGATTTAGTACTATCATTATTCCTGCCGTTAGTTTTAATCCTAAAATAATGATGTTTCAAGGCCAGGTAGTTCAGTTTCGTCGAACGTCAAAATTACCGTCACCATTATCCTGACTTAAACACAGATATTTTTATTCATATTTCGATATAGAGAATAAATATTTTCTATTCATTTTTACATATTTTTAGTTACAATTTTGGTAGTTATTTCTTACTTTTACTTTTAGCAATAATAAATAATCCAAACATGAAAAAATAAAAAAAATAAAAATTGGAAAATCGAAAGTTTTAAAAATCCCGAAAATTGAAATATAGAGGAACTGAAAACTCGAGAAATCAAAAATCTAGAATAATTGAAAAATTAAAATATCGAAAAGTTTAAAAAACGAAAAAATGAAAATCGAAAAATTGAAACATCAAAAACCTAAAAAATCGAAAAATTGAAGAATTGAAGAAATGAAAAGTCGAAGCTTTGGGAAGAAATGGGAAAATAAAAAAAATTACTTCGGAAATCGAAAAACTGAAAATTTAAAAACGTCAAAATTTGAAAAATTCAAAAATTCAAAAATCGAAATATTTAGAACTCGTAAAATTGAAGAGGATAAAAATTGAGAAATTGTATCATTGAAACATCGGAAAATTGAAAAATCGAAAAATAAAAAAATGAAGAAACCGAAAATTTAAAGAATGGAAAAATCGAAAATGTCCAAAATTGAAATAGTGACAAGTTGAATCATCTAAAGTTGAAAAATTGAGAAATCGAAAAGCCGAATAATCTCAATAATGTATTTATAAACCACAAGTTCAGGACTATGCTACTTTTTAACATTTAAATAACATTTGGTTCCAATAACTATAAATTGGAAAATGTTGATTTTTTTCCAAAAATCTTGACATCTAAGGTAAAAACTCAACACGGATTCATAAACCATAAACGGAGGATATAAAATTTAAATTACATCCACTGCTGTAAAATTTGCAGAGTACGTCATTTCATTGATGGTGACAAATTTTGGTGAACGTTCTACCATTTGAAATGTAAAGTCCGACCAGATGATCGAAACGGGTTAGTCCTTCGTAATGGATGTGTATCAGATCAGCTCTAACGAAAGTCGGCTTATAGATAAATCGCTTAGAGTCGATATTGGCATAAGTGCGCTCTGGTCTGTAGATCAAACAAGTTCTCAGGCGACGACATGTCCATAATTAGAATCTGCCATTTCTGTGCGCTGAGGGACTGTGTGACCGCTCAGAGTAACGACAGATAATTTACCAGAAAACCGGAAACCAGTAACTACCGACTTGTAATTAAATCAGTACTTAATGTTCGAAGCCAAATGATCTTTTCAAAGACCAAATTTATTTTTAATTTTGAGTTGAAACGTAAAATCCTTTTCCAGGCAAATTTACCAAATTTGACTAAAACAATAAAGAACTGAAGCTAAAAATTTTGTAAGGTGCACTCTAATCTGGGACATAAAATAACAAAAAATCGAAAAAGACCATTCACAAGCTGCTGATAAGGAAACAGATATAACAAACTTTCTAAGTTAATCATGTCGTTATTAACCATTTAAAAAATCAATAGTATTTAAGCATATTTTTTTTACATACACAAGTTATTATTCCTCAATTAGACCATTAATCCATTAATATTTTTCACAATTGTCGAGTTACAAAATACGTAAAAAGTAAAAAAAAACATTTCAGAAAATTTTGCTACAATAATAATGAAAATGACCGGAGCGCTACCGTTTCATTTTTATTTTTAAGATGACTTCGGATTTACCTTAATAAATTATAAGAACTCATAGTTTGAAACTGTCATACAATGATATTGTAAAACTATTATATAACGCAACATTAAAAAAAAAAGTAGAAAAAACAAGTGCCCCATCATACACAGAAAATTCACAAAACAGTTGGAACCCCTCTTCGCCAAACATTTCTATTTGCACAGCAACACCCCACCACGTATCGTAAAATTTAAGGACCTCAGCCTGGACATCACATTAGAATTTCGACAAGGGTTGTGTGCGTTTCGAGGTATGTACGTTTCTTAGATATGATCACCAATCTAATACTGCCTGCTTTATTTTAGAATAATTTATCACAATGATGCATCAGGAAAGTAAAACTATTTACAATGCCACCTTTAGTGGCAGTATGTCACTCCATTCTATTGAAGACTCTTTCAACCCTATAAAAATCAAAGAAGTTGTGGAAGATTTGATAATGTCAAAATATGGTTCCCGCTTTCAGAAAAATATTCTAAAATCGACTTCGCGTAGATTAAAATGCAAAATAGGTAGCTCCTCCAGTAGCAGTAACTGCGAAAACTCACTGTGTAGTGGCAGCGCCAAAAGTACTTCAGAGGTAAGCATAAATAACTAGAAATGGTTGTTAATTATTATTAAAAAAAATTTTAGGAGTCGGATTACAGCGTCAGTACAGCTGATTTATCCGATTTAATTTCATATGTACGTCCAGGCACAACCAGTGAGGTGGAAACTGATAACAATATGGTAATCCATTCGGACACATGTACAATCGACACTACTTCAACAGAACAGATTAATACAACCTCGTCTTATGAAGAAGAAGATGAAGAAACAAGTGGTGACAAGAGTGCAGATTTATCATTAGAATTACCTAGAAAAAAGTTTATTTTAATACGTATAAAAAAACATATTTTAAAAGCTATCCGTTGTTATCGGCTTTAGAAAAATTGGACACAAAAACTCGTAAATTGCAGCACTTCAAATTTTATTCTTCTCTTTCGGTGAATATTTACACAACTTTTAGACAATTTGTGCGCATTTCCTTAATGAAATAATGAATGAGAATGGCATACTAAGAGATATTAACGAATCTTTCTTGCGACGAGTAATTATTTTACATATTATTATTTGACAATTTTTATATTCTCTTTACAGATTTAAGACTGAAATCCCTCTCTTTGAAACAACAGGACGTAGATATCTTCATAATGTAAACTGGTTTTATTCAGAAAATATAGAAATTTCCAATATCCGCATATTTCCTAAATTTTACAACAATTAACATTTTGTCTGTTTGATCATTACCGACTCAAGGGTGTTTGCAACTGAGGAAGGAAAAATGAAATCAGATGGAGGAACTTATTTCTACAAAAAAAAAAAATCACAATCCCTTATTGACAATGTTACAATCTGATTTTAAGTTGCGTCTGCAAATATACTCGACTACTTCTAAGGTGTGTTCTGTTTTTCTATTATATCAGAAAATAAACAAACCACTCAATTGTAGGGATAAACTTGGATTATACTTTGTTAAGAATCTTCTGAAAAAAATGGCTTTTTGGATTGTAATCAAGCAACTTATTATTAAATTCCGCCAAGGGAGGAGTGTTCTAG